CAATTGGACAATTAAAACAGACATTCGGATGGCGGGGAAGAAGAACAAACTGGGGAGGAGGGTAGAGAAAATGGTGCAGTAATGAAGGAATGAAAACCCAAAATCCCTGTAAATGTTCATTAAAACTAATAAAATTTAATAAAATAAAAAAATAAAACTTAATTGAAAAAATGGTAGTAAAAATTTAAGGGAGCTCTGATGGCATAGTCTGTAGGGAGTTGTACTGCTAACCCAAAGGCAGCTCTGCTCTGGTGGTTCAAATCCATCAGCTGCCTCCGAGGGGAAAAAATGGGCAATCTTCTATGTGATTTCCAACCTCTATAAACCCACTGGAGCATCAGCTATGAGTTGGTTCCAACCTGATGACAATGAGTTTAAGGGATTTTTTTTTAAGAATAAAAATTTAAGGACTGAAATTAAATAAAATGTATGTTTCTGGGGAGCTCTGGTGGCCTAGTGGCAAGAAGCTGCACTTCAATCCCAGAGGCGCATGGTTCGAATCCACCAGTGCTGTGCTGGGAAAGGAGGGATAATCTCCTCCTGTACCAGTCAGATCTGATTTGACGGTACACAGACACACAAAATAAAAAAAATAAATAAATAAATTTTTTTTAAAATGTATGTTTCTAAGAAGATGGATTTTTTCATTGGGGCTTGAGGAGTTTTGTAGTGAAGACAGTGTTCTGATCCTCCTCAGAATGGTCCGAGGAGAACTGTTAGAAGGTAGAGTCAAGAGTTTCCCCGCCATCTCTGGGGGCTCACCTCTGACTCAGGAATGAGGGAAGATGATTAGGGAGCCAAAAAGGATGAGGAGAGGGTCATGAGTCAGATGGAGGGGGGTCTGGGTGTGGTTGGGTGGGAGTGGGGATACCCACCTGAGTGGATGTGAGCATGTAGCTTGAGGTAGTGCTCCCGCCGGAAAAACTTCTTGCACACTTGGCATTTGAACCTGCCTCCACTCCCATGGGTGGGCAAGTGACGCCGCAGGTATCGTTCACAAGGAAACACCTGGCATAGGAAAGGAGTCAGCTGCTTAGAGTTGAGTCTGGAACTGAGTGAGTGGTCCCCATAGCATAAAACAAAGCACATCTGCTCTGAGGTCCTGCCCAGGCTGTTCTTTCTCTTAGCCAAACAAATTCCTCCTTATCCTTCAAGATCCAACTCAGATGTCACTGATTCTATGAAAACATTATTGATTCCTTTATGTTATGCCAGGCAAAGAAAACTCCTCCCTTGAATGTCCACATAGTATAGTCTCTGATATATTTAACCCACTGAATCACAGCCTTTTGCTCACATAGGGAGTTCCAAGAGGGAAGAGAGGGATTTCATTCCCTAACATAAGGTTTCAGTCAAATGACAAATGAAGAATTAAGGTAGTGAGAAGAGAGTTAATAATAAACAAAAAACACAGAAGCCAAAATTTCTTTCTTTCCCAGGTATAAGAAGGGCATTCATTCATGAATTCATCTTTTCTTTTTATTCATTCAGTAAAGAAAAATGGCCAAGAGCACAGATGCAACTCTTCCACTACTTATTAGCCCCACCATTTTCCTAGTGGTGGCTGTGCCTAACCTTCCCCATCTGGAAAATGGGAAAAAATAATAGTGCACCTACCTCCTAAGGTTATATGGTGAAGATGAAATAATATCTCCTCATTCATAAACTATCTTGTTATCCAATGTTCTGTATTTATAACCATTAAAAAGTCTACAATGCAACTGTGTTGTGTATCACTGATGCACAGTTGGCAGTAATAGGCACTGAGGTGCAAAGTGAGAATAATGCTGGCTGAGATGGTTAAGGTTGTGTGCCAATTTGACTGGGCCATTACCCTCAGTAGTTCGGCAGTTATATAATGATGAAATTTGGCAACTATATAAAGATGTCATTTGGCAGTTATACAGTGATGTAGTCATCATCTATTTTTGCATAAAGACTGATGTAGTCATCTTCCATTTTTGCAGAGTGACCTGATCTTTGGAGCTTAACAGGTCAATAAGTGAGGCATGGGTATAGTCAATTCATACACACAGAGTATCAGAACAGTTTCTGGAATGATCTGTGATATATTTTACTCAGACCACATATTCCAAAGTCTCAAATTAGTGTCTATCACTAGAAACAGCTGGAGGGAGACAAGAGCAGGGAAACCAGGACTATCCTGGAAAATCTGCCATGTAAGCTTGTAAGAAAATGAGTAAGACAAAGAAGTCTATTAAACACACTAGGGGATGCAATCAGCAAAATCCAGGCTCTCGAAAACACTAGGGGACTGAGGGACCAGTATCTTCCAGAAAAAGCAAAAAGAGAAAAACAAAAACAGCAATGATGGGGGAGTAGATTGTTATACCAACCAATTATAATATGTGGACCTGATTAAAATACATTTTAAAAAATTATTTAGAGGGCGTGAAAAGAATTGGAAACTTGCACAGTAAATTTGCACAGTAACCTCATCTAGATATTTGATGAGGTTAAAAGCTAGGCTTTAAGTGAGGGCTTCTAGATTCACTAAAAAGAGATTATAGCTCTGATAATAATGCCAAGGAATTGGGAGGCCTCACCCCTTGTTGGCCATCCTGGTCTGTCTCAGCTGTAGCCCTCACCAGAACCACATCTAGTTACACTGGCTAGGCACAGCTCTTAATCCTCAAAGACAAAGTACTGTCCACCGGCTGTTTTCATTACAAAGTCGGAGTATGGTCCGTGACTGAATCCCTGCGCCATGCCTGTGCTTAGGGAGGGAGAAGGGGAGGAGAAGATGAGGCACTGGCCCTGACCTACCTTTTGGCAGTGAGGGCAGGGGAAGTTGTGAGTGGCAGTCTGCAGATGGTGCTCCAGGGCCTCAGGGGTGGAATATTTGTTGACACATTTGACACACCTGAATGGGAAGGAGAAGGAAGGGTAAGAAAGAAGTAAGCTGGGAGCTGGGCTTGCTCAGAAGGTGCAGGAACTAGCCCAAACTCCTGCATCAATATCAAGAGACAAAAAACTGTGTTGAATTCATTCTCAAATCCATCCATTCTTCCTGCTTTGCCACAGCTACCACCCTTCCTCACTTGGAAGCACCCAGCAGTCTCCTCACTAGCTTCCCTGCTTCCACCTTACCTCCTATAGTTCCTTCTCTAGAGGACAGAGAGTGTTATTATATGCCATCGAGTTGGAACTGACTCAATGGACCCTCCCTCTGTGTTTTCAGAAGAAGTTAATATCAAGGAAGAGAATGCCCATTCTTCTCCCACAGAGCATCTAGTGGATTTGAACCACTTGCCTTTGGGATTGCAGTGCAGCTTCTTGCCATTAGACCATCAGATCTCTCTAGAAGGCAGACAGTAGGAACTTCTAAACCCCAAAATAAGGAGTAAGTCACATATTTGCTTAAAACTCCCACCTTGGCCCACAATCTTATCTTCTAACCTCCTCAGACCTTCCCACTCTCCACCTCACTCACTCTGCTCTAGACACCATGACCTCTTGAGGCACCTCAAATACATCAAGTTCTCTCACTTGCTGTTCGTTACCCTGAAACACTCTCCCCCCAGGTGATGCCTTCAAAACCATCATATCACAACTCAAAAATCACCTCCTCATAAAGGTACATCTGGTCTCAAAATGCTTTCCACATCCCAACCCCAGTCATTCTCTGTATGTCTGCTAGTTTTATTTCCTTTGTGTCATTGTTAAACCCATTGCCATCAAGTCAGAACCAACTCCTAGTGGGTTTTCGGAGGCTGTAAATCACAAGAGAGGAGACCTGTCCTTCTTTCTCCTGCAGAGCCACTGGTGGATTTGAACTGCCAGAGAGGTTCCACCTTTTGAATTAGCAGTGCAACTCCTTATGGACTACACAGGGGCCATCAGGTCGCTTCTGGCTCATGGTAACTTTAAGTACAACAGAATGACGTGCTGCCATCCTCATGTCTAAGTATCACTCTGGTTATACTTCCTTCAGAAGAGATCTGTCCATTCTTCTGGTAGTCCGTGGTATATTCAATAGTCTTCACCAATACTATAATTTAAATGCATCAGTTCCTCTTCAGATCTTCTTTATTCATCATCCAGATTTCATAGGCAAATAAAGACACTGAAAATATCATGGTGTGAGGTGAGGCACACCTTAGTCCTCAAAGTGACATCTTTGTTTTTCATCATTTTAAAGATGTCTGCTGCAGTTAGAGTTGGCCAGTAAAATATGTTACTTAATTTTTTAGTTATTTTTCTTCTTAGGACATATTTTAAGTACTTCTTGTTGTATACCACTGACTCACAACTGACTCATAGCTGATCACCCAGCATGTTTTCAGAGGCAGTTAATCACATGGTAGGATATTGTTCATCCTTTCCCTGCAGAGAAGCTGGTGGCCTCGAACTGCATGCCTTTGGGATTGCAGCACAGCTTCTTGCCACTAGGCCACCAGATGATTTTACTTTATTGATTTGCCTGTTTGATTATTATCTGTCTCCCTGGCTAGCTAGTGAGCTCTGGAGGCATGGACCTTGTCTGTCCTGTTCACAACTTGCTCCGAACATTAGTTAGAATCTGGTTTTGTGTTTTGTTTGTTTTTTTTTTTTTGTGGGGGGGTTTCAATGCAGAGAATATGAGAATCTGTTTTGTGAAAGAGACAGACAGACAGGGATCCATGTATGGCCTCTTCCCTTCTTTGTTCCTCAGTTTCCATAAAATGAGAATGAGAAGCCCAACTAGGCCTGCCGCTTATTCATTTCTAGGACTGTCACAAGAGTCAAAGGAAACAATTGTACAGAAAATGACAACACACACACTATAAACACGGCCTTTATCGTTGTGGTTAACATGCCTTCAAAACAGTAGTTTCTGGCCACAACCCACTCTGAAGAAAGAAAAGCCCTCTTTCCCCACTTGAAATCATGTGCCAGTGATGGATGCCACATGCAATTCATGCTAAAAATAAACTCAAGCCCTTTCTTCCACACACAGATGGGAGTTCCCACTGTGCATCACTGTAGCTACCAGTACACCAGACTCCAGGGGTGCTTCTAAGACCACAGTCTGGAAACCGCACACAAAATGCCCCCCAGATGGCAAGAGAGAAGGAGAAAGGATGTGTGAGAGCAGAGTCAAAGAGGATATAAATATTTCAAATACAACTGAAAATTTACAATCAACAGAGGGAAAATGAGATGACTGGGGTCTCCTAAAAATTAAATCCTTTGTGCATCACAAGACTTCTCCAAAAGAGCAAAAAGAGAACCTATAAACTGGGGGGGG